TTCAGGTGCTGCCGCTCTGCCATCTGAGATGTTGGTACCAGTGGCCAGAGGGTGGGATGGCAACCCAACCAGTGGCTTCTGAATCGGGAAGGTGACCTACAGCACTGTCACCAGGAATACACGAGTGACACTCTCCCTTAGTCCAGAAATTGACTGCTATCTTTTGTTTGACAAAGATAATTAGTTGGCCAACTAGGTGAGCATGAATCGTGTGGTCAGTATTCAGCCTTCCCACTCTCTTCTGCCATCACTTGTTAAAGGAAGAGGGCTGAATCTGTAAAAAAAAGGGTGTTAATCCTGTAGGCAGCTGTTTTAATCTTGATGACAGCGTTGCATGTCTTCACACAATGTTTTTGCCAGACATACGCAATAGAGGTTTCAAAGTAGGCTGCTGATTCTTAAAAGGCAAGGCCTTTCACCTTCGACAAAAATAAAGAGCTTTTAGGGTTTAAAAATGTAGTCAGAAAAAAGTCACACCTCTTGGAAGAACACTGCAGACGTAGCATTTAATTCTGTTTCATTTAATTCTTAGTATTTTGAAACTAATATGGGTTGAATTAAATCCTGTTAACTAAGTATTCTAGGTGCCATTCTGTTCATACTCAGAATAAATGCATTTTGCAGCTACATAGTGCCATGGCATTTTAGAGGTGCTAAAGCACGGTTTGTCAACTGTTGTATGTACCTTGCCTCTTCTAGTATCTCTTACTTTTACTAAATTCAAGATTGGATAGTTTGGCAAGCTGGAGGACATTTTACCTCAAGTGGAGAGGTACATACATGTAGTAGGTTTCTTTTATCCTTTTTATGTAAATAAGAAAAGTTTGGAAGTGAAATTTAATTAGGAAACTGCAGAACCTTTATCTTAGATAAAAACACCCACAAACTGAAGAACCTCACCTCAATAATATGCAACTTCTGATTTTAAGCACAAGGCATTTTACGTATGGGAGTTTATTTACTACAAAAATAATCATCTGTTTGGGCTTTTGCTCGCTTCTCTACAATGAGCAAGGTGTCAGTTATCAGTGACATACATTTTAGCTACTTTGAACTGAGAGATATTAATTAGCTTTTTTTTTTAACATATGCTACAGCAATAGATATTAAAATGCATGCTAATATAAAGGCATGCAATTATAACTTTTTTTTTGAAATGTATGCCAGACAGGTAATTCACTGAGTTTAGACAACATCTAAAGGTAGGACATGCCATTTTTAAATAATATGGTCATTGATCAAGCTCTTCTTTGCTTCCTTTGTACACTCCTTTTTGATGTATTCAAGGAAAATTGGATTGTCTGACATGAATTGAGATAATACCAATGGGATAAAACCACATGAAGGGAACTATATTGATGATCTGCTTGGTTTTGATTATTGACTTTTTTCTTATTTTAAATCACCAGAAAGTCACATTCTAGAAAAAAATGACTTGTTGAATTCCTGTGATTCATCACCACCAAAAAAGGATCACCATAGCAACAGGAAAAGACTATGCATTATAAGAATACTCACAAGCTGAATAAGATAATGGTTTAAGATAATGTCCCAGTAGCATGGTAAAATGCCAGCCAGGGGTGAGAAGGAAAGGAAGATGCATTTTCACAATGACAAAAGAAATTTTAAAAGAACTAATATTGTAAATGTGAAATATGTGTAAATTCAAGGCTAGTGGAAAGTGCAAGACAATGAATCAAGAAGCTGTATGGCTCATTTTTCTGAGGAGAAAATCAACAAGGTTTCTTATTGAGAAATCCCAGAACATGTCTCTAAGGGTCAGCTGCAAGTGACTGATGTATGACACTGTGATATTCCCTCTAGCCTCTCTGTTAGGGCATCCAAAATGTTTTGCAGCTAGCAGCAGATGTCCACACGGTAACTATATAGAAGAGTTTAAGGCAAATATTTCATGTAGGTCACCTATCAGGCAGAACCTGCTTAACATCTAGTAATTATCCTTAAGGTCTGATCCAGCACTGCAGTTTAGAGGTGAAAGGATCATTACATTTGCCTTCTGGTGTATCTGTCCTATTTAGATGCTTATCTTTGATCCCCTCCTACAATATTTCTCAATCCTCAAAGTTCAATTCTACAGTATTTGAGAATTAAAGATATAAATCTACACTTAACTCAAAATATGAATCAGGATAAGTGAAGAGTATGTCACTGAATGAGATTTAAACCATATGATACTTGCCACATTTTTTTTCATAATTTTCTCTTTTCACTACAAACCACCCATTCTCAGCTCTCATGTTTTGTTAAGATCTATTTAAAATTAATTAGGTGACATAACAATATACAGATAAAAACATGTATGAAATGAGAAATCCTGTACCTAGTAACTCTGCTTTCAAAGCCATGTTCTTTTCAACCATTTCTTTGTGGCAGAATTCCTGGGTTTTTACTTTAGCACCACTACAAGTGTTTCTGTGAATTTCAGAAGAGCCTTTTGTCTTTGCCCCTTCAGTCACTTTAATAAAGGAGTAAATTCACATTGAGAGTACAGAGACTATTCCAGCTCCGGAGCCAGTGGGAACCATTACTTATATCTCTGGTTTCTCCATCTTCTCTTTCAGTACAATTTGTGTTAGAAAGTCTTCTAGTAGGGTTTAGGAAACTTAAAAAATCCTCAGTGCAAACTGCCAATTTGCTAATGCAAAGTGACACTAAACCCAAACATTTTCATCTACCAGCCATCAAGATCATCTGTGTGCTAGGTTGCACAGTCTCCAGTATATATTTTTTCTGAGACTGAAAGAGAGCTCACTGTGTCAGTCCACCAGAGATACTTTACAAAGACTGTATTGTTCTTACCTGATACCGAAAAATGAGTTGCTGCAATACCTCCTCTTTGTATCATGGAAATGTCACCCAGAAAGACAGGAATTGTTCACCCACACCTGAGTGTCCTTTCACTCCTGCCCCAGTGAAAGACCACTCCCTTGCTGTGAAACTTCTTTCTACCATAACTCCCCTGATATTGTTGCTCCCTTCAGTGTACAGCAGTCCCTCATTAGAAGTCCTAAAAGCAATATGATCTTTTTCCCTCTCCTGCTGTGGAGCACTAAAGAGGAGAAGAGGAGGTGTCCCTAGCTACCTTCAGTCCCACTGAAGCTTCTCATCACCAAAAATTAAGGGGGTCACTCACACTGGCTGTCCGTGACTGAATCAGTCAAGTCAAGTCCTGCTATGGCAATGAGATTTTTTTTATCCTGGGCAGAGGTTAACAGACAGCTTAAGCCAACCTATGTCTATGCTGTATGTTCCCTGATATCCTTCACGCTGGCTCCATGAGTGGATGCTACAATTAATCCAGAATATATAAATCTGTAATCTGTCAGGTGAACAAAACTGAATCAACTCAGCATAAGTTTCAAAGATGAGACAAAGCCCACACACGGATATGTGTAGTAGCACATGGCAAGGATGAATAGGACCTTCCTCTTTCAAGACCAGGAGCTATTATGAACAGTTCAACTATCTTGAATAAATCCCACCATAGTCTTTTACTAGCTTGCAGTCAAATTATCTGTAGGAAAAAGAAACCAACCAAAATTAGCAACCAAAATCCATTAGCTGCACAAGATTCACAGCAGCAGCGCATTCTCAAGAAGTTTATGGCACACTTTTTAAAGACCAGAGCTAGTGAGGTATCCTTCAGGACATGTGCGTTTATAGAAAGAGGAGCAGGGAACATAATCTTCAGGTACAAACTAACTTATTATTTTCAGAGAAGAAAGGGACTACTAATCTGTGATGAAAAAATTCAAGTAGGAGATTGCATATTATAAACACGGAAAAGACATACTGAAATCTTACAATGGCGTGGCAACAAGAAGGGAATGACAGGTTTTAGAGCATGATACTGCTTGTATAGACGTTTAGGACCCTCAGCCCTGGAATATCTGCCTCTCCTTACAAACCTCTGTCCTCTGCTGAAGAAGAGCTGAAAGGAAACGTTGCAAGGAGTTGTTTGACATTGCAAGAAAAAAAATAAATCCAAACCCCAAAGTTATGATCTTGACACATACTTCTAAGACAGACATACATACCTGTCCCCTCTCATATAAAATCTGGCAGATAGATGCATCCCCAAACACAACAGGCAAAGACTAATTGGTATCAAAACCTTTATGGATCCAGTGTTTCCTCTAGCATTTTAATTTTACACCATTGTAAACCCATCAACTTTGTCAGGACAGGTTCTAATTTACACTGCTACAAGTGAAATCAGAATGAAGACAAAATACAAGAAAGGTGTCAACATACACATGAACCTATAAATCTAAAGGGAACAGATTTTTATTTTTTTTAAAGTATTTATCTGACATTCAAGAAGCAAAACAGGAAAAAGCCCTAAAAATTTAGGCACGACATATACTTTCAAAGACTGTCAGTCACAAAGCAGGATGAGATTGCTGGGATCAGCAAATTGTTTTGTCTTCTCAGCATTTTCAGCATGAGATGAATGCAATCATGACTAATGGGATTTCCCATTAAACATGGCCTAAGGAAAGCAGACGTTTCAGAAAACAAATCAGCAGTTTATATAAATATATTTATGCCCACAATTAGATTTACTTTTTTTGTATGAAGCTGGCTAGAATCTACTTACTTATTGGGAATACAGCATAAGAAATGCTACTGTACCTTATTTATCTGTACTTCCAACTTTTTGCTGACTACATACCCAATACTACAGAGAAAGTGCTATTGCAGCAGCTGGGTCAAAACTCAACATTCAAACAGTGTAAGACTTACGGGAAAGAAAAATAAAGCAGAATATTAAAAACAGGCATGGAAAATATCCTGTAACTTCATTTAGAAGTGGTGGCAAAACTCTTGTGTTTCCAGCTTTGCATTTCATACCATGATTATAGCGTTCTACTCATCTATCGAACACATCCATTTTGTTATGTTTTTCCTTACAGAGGGTGGATGTATTTGTCTCTGAACTGCTCTGCTGAGCTAACATGGCATGCACCCCAGCTTACCTGAGTCTAAGTGCCATGGATCAGTAGCGGCTGACATTGGTGGGATGGTGAGTGGAGATGCTCCACAGTTGGATTCCACAAGTTCTCCTTGGATGTGGACGTGAGAGGAGGTGTTGGTAGGTCTCAGAGCTGCTTTGAGTGGAGCAATCTGGTTGAACTGTACTCTCGATAGGCAGCCAGTGAATCCAGGGGTGTTGTATTTATAGATGTCTTGGTCAATCTTCCCAATTTCTATGGGAAATTAAGGAGGGAAAAAAAAAATAAAATTAATCAAAACAATTCACTGCTTTGGAAAGCACGGCTGGTCTGAACACTTGATTCTCAGAGCTCAGTTTCCAAGCGTCTCTCTCTCAGGAGACTGAGAACGTGTCAGACCCTGCCAGGTTTCTTTACATTTCATTACAGATGGAAACCTTCAGGCCTTGATGCAACTTGGTTTCACTGCTGTGCTATCATTAAAATGAAAGGCTGGCATGAAAGAGTCATCAGAGAACAAAAGGCCAGGGAAAAAAATCTCCTTCTCAAGAAGAGGTGGTGAAGGAGAAGGTAGAGGGACATCCATCGCCAGTGCCTCTTCTCCCAGCTGAAGCTGCTGCTGCAAGATGTGCCCTGGCCTTCACCCCGGCCCGCCGCCCTCCCAGTGGGCCAGGGCTGCTCCTGTTCACTCCTGCCCTGCTCCTGCCTCCTTGTCAGGAGACCTGGCGTCCCTCCAGCCTGAGGTGGAAAACCACCCTTCTTCAGCCTCCTTCCTTCCCCCGGCAGTGCGGAGGGATGGCAGGAGCCCATCCAGCCCCGCTGCAGGCTGAGGAGCAGGACGCGTGCCCCGGCGCCTCCGCCACAGGCCGAGAGCCTGCCGCACGTCAGCCATTTTACACCTCACTGCTGTGGGCTGACAGGCCTCCGTGAGCAGGGCACAGGGCTCTGCCACTGCTCTCTCAAACAGCTGCTGCCCCTCAAAGTCACCCCGAGGAGCTTTCTCCCTTCTAAAACACCAGGTAAAACAATCCCAAAATAGTAGCTGTAAAAGACGGCGCATGCCCTCACTACTCGGGAACCTGCTCACGGCTGCTTTGATTCTGCCAGGACCTGTTGTGACAGCCTGAGTCACAATCGAAACAAAACCAGCACTCTCTGTTAGCTGGCTGCATCAGGGGGGGTATTAACATTTCAAAGCCTCGCTGCAGTGTCTAATACAATATTTACATGGCAGTGAGGAATTTGGCTTCCTTTCTTCTATGGTAGCCCAATGTAAATGAAAATGACAACAGCACAGCATCATGTTTGTGCTATACCAGAGAGTATTGCTCCAGAGACACTGAGATATTTCAAACTGCCCTTCCCTGGGTCAGCAGGGACAGGAGTTAATGTCTGGCTCTTGAAGCCAGTGGAAAAAAACCCACTGAAACAAGCAAAGCACAATGGTGTCCCAGCGGCAGAGAACAGAGAGTAGCCCCAGGTTGTTCAAAGGCAAGTTTTTCTGATAAGAACAAGGAAAAAAACTTGAAAAATGGTGGTTTTGGAAAAAAAAAATATGTATATAAATCACAAGATAGCATCATAGAAGAAGGAGGGTTCTCCTGAGAGGTGTGAGGAGGAAGAGGGAAAGAGTTTGGGGAAGAACTGGGAACCAAAGCACACCTGGGCTTGAGTTTTGCTACCAGAAAAATCAAATTAGAGTCATTAGAAAATACATTATAAACTTTTGGCTGAGTCTGTGTTTAGTTCTAACCCACCCAAGATCAATTATATGAGACCTGAGCTGCTGACTGGGCTCCCTGAAAACTGTCATAATACATAGGTCAGTGATACTCCTGAGAGTACTGAGGGTTTTGCATCAGGGATACATAGAGGAGTTTCAAGGCTACAAACCAGGCAGAGCATTTCAAGTACACTTTAATTTTTGGGTTTACACATTGTATTGGATTGTGTGTGGTGGGGTTTTGGTAGCAGGGGAGGGGGCTACAGAGGTGGCTTCTGTGAGAAGCTTCTCAAAGCTCCCCCAGCTTCAAATAAGACCTGTCTCTCGTGAAGGCCAGGCCAATTATCAATGGTGGCAGTGCATCTGTGATCATGCATTTAAGAAGAGGAACCTGGCAGGAGGAGGAGTTGTGAGGACGACACCTCTGCAAACGCCATGGTCAGTGGAGGAAAAGAGGAGGAAGGGGGAGATGTGCCAGAGCAGAGACCTCCCTGCAGCCCGTGGTGAGAGGGCAGGCTGTGCCCTGCACCCACGGAGGTCACCGGTGGAGCAGATGCCACCTGCAGCCCATGGAGGACCCCACACCGGAGCAGGGGGATGTGCCTGGAGAAAACCAGGATTAAGGGAAGGTTGTGCTGTTGTAGTTCCTCGCTGGGAGGACTGTAACATGTGGGAGGGACCCACACTGGAGCATTTTGGGAAGAGCTGCAGCCCGTGGGTCAGACTGATGTTGGAGAAAGTTCATGGAGGGCTGTCTCCCATGGGAAGAACCTCACACTGGAGCAGGGGAAGAATGTGAGGAGTCCTCCCCCTGAGGAGGAAGGAGTGGCAGAGACAAAAGATGATGGACTGACTGCAACCCCCATCCCCTGCCCCCTGTGCTTCTCTGGGGGAGAAGGGAGAGAAATTGGGAGCAAGGCTGAGTCTGGGAAGAAGGGAGGGGTGGGGGAGGTGTTTTAAGATGTTGCTGTATTTCTCAGTACCCTACTCTGATTGGTAAATTAAGTGTTGCTGGTAGTGGTCTTCAAATTAAATTGCTGTTCTTTTTCTTCCCCAGTCAAGTCTGTGTTTTGCCTGTGACCATAATGGGTGAGTCATCCCTTTCTATCCCTGTCTTGATCCTTGAGCCTTTTGTTTTGTTTTCTCCTCCCTATCCTTGAGGGTGAAGGGGTGAGTGAGCTGCTGGGTGGTGCTCAGTTGCTCTCTGGGCTCAAACCATGACACACATTAAACATGAAGTAGGGGAAAACTGGTGGAAACTGCACAAATCTTGAGCATGATTAAATTAACTTCTTGATTTTCGCACAGAATTAAACTGTACCTCTTCTGTCTTTGCAGCTGTATTAGAATGATAAATGTACAACATTGAAGTCCTCCCCACACTTAGCATTAGGACACAGAAGGAAGATGTATAATCTGAAAATGACTTACATTAGATCCGTATGTCATTCACTGCACAGGAATGGACTTTTTCTGTTCCCCTCATTTTCCCTTTTCCTTCCCGTTTGAGAATGTTCTTTCTCTGCTAGTGCTTATCCAGCCTATATCAATATTACAGCCACATTTCACAAGCTGTCAGTGAGCAGCGACTGTCACTTGTGGCAAAGCAGAAACATGCTCAAGACTCACCTAGAGACTAGCTTATATGCGTTAAAATTATTGTGTTAGTCACGTGGGTGTTCCGTCCAGCTCTCCTTTCAGAAGGTGGCTTGACCAAAAAGTTAGCATTATCTCTTTCAAAAATTTGATAATAAGTAAAAAAACTCACATGTGCGTGCAGACTTTCCAGGGTTATAAGAAAAGCTGTACAGAAGCCAGTTTATGCATCTGAATGCTACTTGTAGACCTTATCACTTAGAAAAGGTTCCTATCTGAACACAATATTCACTATCTCTTACTTCAGTAAAATACCCATGGCATATTCAGTGAATAGTGGCAATTTTGAGTAATCATTATAATCTAAGGAACAGTTAGAAGACCATATTTTTCTTTAAACATTGTAACTACTGTCAATAGCAGCTTAGTGATTAACTTTTATTCACATTTTTATATATTCTGTGGAACTTCATGCAGCAATGCTAATACCCTTCCACTCTCAATCCTAAATGACAATAACAAAAATCCATGAATATGATTGTGCTACTTTAGCAGCTTCAGCACCATTCTTCTTTAACTCCATGAATAATAAGTGATGGATATTAGATCCTGAAAGAGTTAAAGAGTAGGGATACTCTTTGATGTTAGGCCAGTATACTTTGCCTCCCTGTGTATTTGAGCCTGCTATAAACCCATACACAGGGAGTGTAATGATTATATAATGAAATATGCCTTTGTTGTCATGACTAAAATTCAATTTTCTCCCTATAACAAAGAGAGAAGAAGAAGATGACAAACATACTATTTTAAAAAGTGAAATGTACAATGAAACTACTTTGCATTGTTCTAATTTTCAGCACATAAGCTAGTGCAAAGTCATATAAATATTATAGTACAGGTATTATCATTACCTAATAGCAACATTAGTATTATTGCTTTCTGATCTGATGCAGCAGTCTTCTGCTGGCAACTTACCCACAAGCATTTCTGTAATGGAAGACTTCTAAAAATACTACTTATAGGCCTTTTTTAACTTCAGCTGTTGTTAACCATCTTCTCCATTGACCACATAAACTGTTGACTTGAGATGAAGACCATGATTACAAGACAGAGACCACTCAGGTGAACCCATTCTAGCACAGATGCACTGCAGTATACAAATCCTGAACACAGTGTCTATGCAACTGCCTACACAGATTACTTAAACATTTTTAAAATGTATATAAATAGTACACAGTATACTAGGAACCTCAGAGATGTTGCCCCATGTCTTGTGTGTTACCATTCACTGGAGATATACTTAACATCAATTACTTGTTATTTATGTTTTGTTATTTCTTTAACAGTAAAAAGATATAGAAATTTAGTCCTTAGTTACTTGTTTTGATGTCAGGGCTTATCTTCCACAGCTGTGGCAGAAACATGCCCCACAGTGATGAAAATAATACTGCATCTCTATTGAAAATTACATGCTACTACTGAAGAAGCTCTTTTCCACCTATGCAAAAAGATGTAAAGGACATCTATTTTTAAGCATGCTTATGACACCAGGCACCATTAATGAGTATCCAACAAATTGAAATTCATTATTGTGTGAATCTAGAAGAAAACAAGCAAAAATAAATTGTATAGAGGAAAAAACTGAGGCTGGACCTGTGCATAAATAACAAATGCACAAGTAGCACATAGAAATACTGATCAGTGTAATTAGGTTATCTGTTTTTTAAGCCTTTTTGCCCTTACTACTTTAACTGTAGATGCAGAGTTGTGGCCCTTGCCTAGGCACTGCTACAAGACAAACAAATAAACAGTCTGGTTCAGATTATTACCAAGGTTGACATAGTTAGCATGCATCTGATGAGCTACTTGTAGCAGCAGACACATTGCCGAATATAGTTTTTATCTACTCTCTCTCTTTCCCTCTCTACTTTCCATA